AGCTCACAGGTTGAGGTAGAGAACTTGCTGAACTAGCAGCGTGCTGGTCTGATCACCAGGGAGCAAGAGAGCTGGGAGTAGGCCTTACAGAGCCATTTATCTTGCCCTTCAATCAAGCTTCGATGTGATTAAACTCCGCCCACACATTCCTATTGGCCTAGTTGGCATGTGTAAACCTATCACAATCATCCTCTGGACCTGGCACTTATATTTTCATGGGATTGGTTCCCTTCCACCTAAGACAGCAGTTCTCAACATGTGGGTCGCGACCCCTTTGGGAGTCAAACGACCCTTTCACAGCGGTCCCCCGATTCATCACAGTAGCAAAATGACAGTGATGAAGTAGCAACGAAAATAATTTTATGGTTGGGGGGGTCACCCCCACATGAGGATCTGTATTAAAGGGTCGCGGCATGAGGAAGGTTGAGAACCACTGACCTAAGAGGTCATTCTTTTCAATAAAAATAATTTAGGTGATTATACAAGGAAATGGGGTTGAATTTTAATACTTAGCCATTTCAAAGGTATAAATTCACAAATCGGGGTAGTCATCTCCATTAAACCTCCTAGCTCAGCCCTGATTCAGAAAACAGGAGCTCCCCTCCTTAGGCATGCACACACACGACAGGTTGCAAGCCACGGCCCAGATAATCAAGCATCTTGTTACACGCTCTCTCCTCAGCAGGGGGGCCTAGTCTCATGTCGGGTGCCATCGAGCCGTCTTATAAGGACCCTGTGCACAATAGAACTAAACACAGTCCTGCACCACCCTCACATTGCTCCTGTGCCCGAGCCCACGGATGCAGCCACTGTGCCCATCTTCCTCTCCTACACTGCTCTGCTTTGTCAAACATGATGTCCTTCCCCAGGGACTGGTCTCTCCTGACAATATGTCCAAACCGTGTAAGACAAAGTCTCACCATCCTTGCCTTCCAGGAGCACCTGGCCACACTTCTTCCGAGGCAGGTTGGTTTGTCCTTTCAGCAGTCCGTGGTGATTTCGATATGCTTCTCCAGCACCACAATGCAAATGCATCAATTCTTCTACGGTCTTCCTTATTCAGTGTCCAACGTCCCCATGCACCCCATGCATGCGATGTGATAGAGAATACCACGGCTTGGATCAGGCGCACCTTGGTATTCAAAGTAACATCCTTGCTCTTTCAATACTCTAAAGAGATCTTGTGCAGCAGATTTACTTAGTCCAACTCATCTTTTGATCTCTTGACTGCTGCTTCCCTGAGCATCAATAGTGGATCCAAGCCAGACAAACGTCTTCACAACTTCAACCTTGCCTCCTTTTATCATGATGCGACCTATTGGCCCAGTGGTGAGGGGGTATTTTGGTCTTAGGCTAGAATCATAGCTAGCCTGTAAAGACTCAGACTTGAGATCAAATTCAGGCTCTGTTCTTAGCTTTTATCTCAAGACGTTTGTGCTTCCTGGACCCCCTTCCTACGGCTGACTCCTTCTCAGGGCTCAGCCTACATGTCAACTCCTCCACAGGCTTGGCCAGGCCATCCCCGGCGTGGCCTCCCTCTGCACTTTGCAAAGCAGCTTCTCTGGGCTCTGCCATCCTCTCCAGAGGCCTTTCTTGCTTTGGTGTTTTTCCATCCTTTGGAGCTAGGGACTTGGTCTTCTGTGGGTTCTTGGGATGGAGGTGGTGTGAGGGCCATGGTCAGCCACATCCTCATTTGTGGACTCAGATGTCTCATGCATGACACAGCAAGAGTACCGCTCAACTCTGGGAGGAACTACATGGAGGTTGGCGGGGACAGTGGTGGCTATGATCCTCTGTGACCCTTTCCCCAGAGATCTGCCTGGAGAAGGGATGGAAGACAGGGTCTTCGCTGTCTGGAGCTGCAGGGGCTGGAGTAGGGACGCGGCTTAGCTTGTACCTTGGGCATGCTACAGTGCCCCAAGTGAAAGGACAGACACCCCCATAAGCTCTTCCCCTTGTTCTCCAAGGTGCCCATCCCTCCCATCTCCTCTCTCTTCCTCCTACCTCATCCTCATGAAAAGTTCCTTAAGTGGAGAGGTTTTCCTAGGAAGGGTCTGAGGTCAGCATGGGTCAATTGATTATAGCTGCTTCAAGGCCAACTCATCCTGGCCCTTATCAGGGGTTCCCCATGTAGATCGGAGCAATGACACATTTGCAGATTTGAGGGAAAGAATAGGAGCCCCTGCCAAAGCTAATTTCCTGTTTCCTGGGCTCCTTCGTCCGTTCACTCTCCAAGCATGAGTTTATCCAACTCTTTACCAGGTTCCTCCGTCCATCCTGCCCACCCTAACTCCCAGGTTCGGCCAGGCCCCACCTGCACATATCAGCTCCCAAGGCTCGCTTGCTAAGGGCTGCTCCCCAAGACTCCCAGAGGGGCAGCCTGGACGCATTGTGAGACACTGCCCGGATCTTAGTACCCCTTCCTCCAAAATAACTGTGAATGGTAGATCTCATGTTTTCATTGTCAAGACATGTTTAATGAGACCTACTATGTGACCGATTCCCTTCTAGGCTGGGGGAGAGGGACAGCCACCAACCAAATGCAGGTCCCATCTTGCCCTCTTGCAGGAAGAGCTAAGGAGGTGGACCAGCACCACAGCTGCCACAATGACTTCAAGCACTAGGAGGATGGTGTAGTCCTAAGCCACCTTGCATTTTGTGATGCCTACGTTAGGTCGCCAGGACGCAGTTCCAGCCCCCTAACCCCCCCCCCCCCACACACACACACACAGAGCAACTTACAACAGAACAAGGAGGAGCTTCGATTTCAGTGGGATTGAGTTGCAAGCACACTAGGAAGAAAGGAAATCGCAGCATAAGTGGTGGAGAGAACCGCTCAGTAGGGGAGGCTGGGAGAAAGAGAGAGGATCAGAGACTTGCCCCAAAGCCATGCAACTTAGAAAGCAATAAAGTCCGAACTGGAACCGCAGGTCTATCTGTGCTTGTCATTCAATAGTGACACCTGACTGGGAGTGCAATCCTGAAACCGTGTGGTCGGTGTGGTTTGCAGCTGATTGCAGGGGTCCATCCTTCCAGCAGTAAGGGAAACACCCCCCCAAATCTAAGTGCATAATTGAATCGCTGCTCTTACTAAGGAATGTCAGCATCCACACCCGTTTCCTCTATCACCTTAATAGCTGGCCAAGGAGAATTTAGGAAAGCACCGCGGTTGGGGTTGGGGGCCGTGGGGGCAAGGGCCGAAGGAGGCCACTGCATTTCTGCGAAGTGAATCCGGGTCACAAGCCCGTCGCGCTTGGGCCAGATCCCCCAAGTTCCCAGGCTCGGGCCGTTAACCCTCTGGGCTCCGGGCGGCTCCAGCGGAGACGCCGGGCAGGCCGCCAGGGGGCGACGTGAGCGCGCAGTGGCCCCGGGCGCGGGGGCGGGAGGCGGGGCGTGACATCCCCCGGAGGCCGCCGGTCGCGTGACGTCACCCGGAGGCCGCCGGCCGCGTGACGTCTCCCGGACGCCGCCGGCCGCGTGACATCCCCCGGAGGCCGCCGGCCGCGTGACGTCACCAGGAGGCGGCCGGCCGCCAGCGGGGTGGCCGAGATGAGGTTTAGGGGACGCGTCATTTAAGGACGCCTTTCGATTTCCTGGCCCCAAATCACAGAGACCGTTTACATTTACCTCCCACCCTGTCTGCTGGCTTTGATCCACCTAACCCGACGAAGGATATCCCAATTCGTCGTCGTCTACTGTCGAAAGTCGGGGTGCCGGGCGCCCGTCTCTAGGGATACGCGTCACTTTGACGCGCACGTGAATTGAGCCTCCAGGGCAGTAAAGCCTTACTTCAGCAATAAATATAAACGTAGTCAAAAGCTCTTAGGAAGTTGGCATCAAATGGAAAGACAAACGGTGCAGCGGAGGTTGTACTGACCGACCCGAGGGGCCCTTAGGTTACGCGGGACTCAGGATCTCAAATGTATCATGTCAAATAGGACATTTTGCATAAACAGTATCACATGGTCCCACGGATAAGCTAGTAGTATACATTTGTGTTTGGGTTGGGTCTGAACTAGGCAGCCCCCCGTTTGGACTACGTTGGGGGGGG